AATAGAGATAGCCAATAAGAAACCCAGCCACCAGCCAACAGTCTTATAATTAATATAACATCCATGTGTTTATTTGGGGCTGAGAAGGGCAGGGGTGGAACAAGAAAAACTCTAGCAGCACTTGATTCTTAAAAATAATAAAAATAAAGTAAAAGTAATCTTGGGTTAAGAATGAAACAGCTGTTGGGTGGAGTGACACACACCCTTGATGCCAGCACTCAGGAAGCAGAATCAGGCAGATTTTGACAATAATCTTGTCTAGATAGTGAGTTCCAGGCCAGCCAGGGCTACATTGTGAGACCTGTCTAAAACCAAAACAACAACAACAAAACCCAGAATCAGGTAAGAAGCACTGCACAACCAAACATGAGGAGGAGTTACTGTCACAGAACCCTCCATCTAGATGGGATGTCAGAGGTGATTTGTTGGTATTATTCCTACATAGTAAGAGTTGCTAACAGATATGCCTCTGTTCTAGATGTAATGAGCTAAGAAAGAAAACCCCAGACATTGTTAAAGACAAGACATAGATGGTCTTTATTGTATATTTAACACATCACACATACTTACTATGTTAAATAATGCTCTATTTTAATGTTTTATATATATATATATATATATATATATATATATATATATATATATATATATATCCCCATCCATCCATCCATCCATCCATCCATCATCCATCCATCCATCCTCTGGGCAGATTTTTTCCCCTTTCCATTCATAATTGTGCCCAGATAGGAATGCAAGCATATTTAAAGAGTCTGTAGGTATTAGTCCTCTCCATCATTTCTTACTCCAAACCTTAAACAGTTCTGATTACTACAGAAAAACAAACAGTTCAGCTGTACCTTCCTCTGGGCCAAGACTTGACCATGAACACACATGGCAGCAGTTACTGCCTGAGCACTTGGGGCAAACCAAACTTTGTATTTCCACACCAGTTTCTTCATCATAAAATGGAGATAATCTATCCTATTGCAATTAGGATAACTAAAGTAAATTATATTTTTTAAAACACAGTTGAGGGTGCCTGGAAAGATGGCTTAGCACTTAGAAGCACTTTCTTCCAGAGGACTTAAATTCAATTCCCAGGGCTCACATGGTAGCTCCCAACTGATTATAACTCTAGTTCCAAGGATCCAACATCCAACAAAAGCTCTCTTCTGGCTTCTTTGTGAGAGCGCGCATGTGCTCTCACGCACACACCTATTAAAAACACACTTGGTAAGAGTTCTGTATACACATAAGTACTATTATAAGATCTCTAAATTTCTGCCTGGCAATAATTGAAAGAATTTTGCTCCAGTTGTTCCAGAAGCTTGTCCAGATGTAGACATGAAGTGGCCTATAGTTTCTAGGTTGACATCACATTTTAAAACTGAACCACTTTCCAGGGGTTCTTCTGAGTGCCTCCTGTAGGGATATGATGTTAGCCCTTAACATTTTACAGTTTTCACAGGTAAAGTACATGTTTTTACAACATTCCTCTTGAGGGTGGGAATGGTAGCTTAAAGAGTCATGATTTTAGTGGTGTTAAGTAGAACAGACACTAGTTCCATGTTTGATACACATGTAACAGATCACATCTTTCCAGAATAAAAGTATTAGCTTCACAAAACACACTCCAGGCAGAAGGAACCCTGGCCTGACTCACAGTTCTCTCAGGCCACACCATGCACAAGCTGCAAGTGTTCTGAGCTTTGGCTTCCTTCTAATGGTCGATGCTGTAGGACTGGTGAAGTTAGCTCAGCAGGTAAACGGGCCTACAGGCAGGCCCAACCACCTGCACTCCATCTCAGGGAGCCACGGAGTGGAAAGAGAGCCAACTCCCACAAGTTGTCCTCTGACCCTCATATATGCACTACCCGCAAGTAAATAAATGGAATTAAAAATTACTAAAAGTCAACAGTGTAGGACAAGAAGGTCTCCTTTAGCCATGTATGCATCTAACTGGAGTAGTGCAAATAGAGTTTTGACAAAGTCCATTCAGGTACTCTATCTACAGTCAGGGTCTACTGATTATTAAAGGGAATTTCTAACAAACTTGATATTTGATTACAAATACTTTCTGTTGTTGGTCAGAAGCAGTAAAACAGATCAGTCATGGAAAGACTGATTGATGGCAGAGGCAGGATTCCTCTTCCAGACCAAGGAAACCTTCCCCTCAAAGTATATCAGATCCAACCCAAGACCTGTGTCCTAGCTAGACCAAAATAATGCATTCACTGTGGTGGTCTCTATCATCTATTCCTAAATTAAATTCATCCCCCAATAATGTAATTCAGTCTTTAATGATGGCAAAAAAAAAGTAAATGTCACATAAATACTTCATCCTAATGCTATCTACAGCCTCCATCCCCAAGACCTGGAGAGAACTGACAAACCATTTCTTATGCTTCTCCCCCCCCCCACACACACACACCTTTTTAAAGATTTATTTATTTATTATGTGTACAGTGTTCTGTCTGCATGTATGCCTACAGGCCAGAAGAGGACGCCAGACCTCATTACAGATGGTTGTGAGTCACCATGTGGTTCCTGAGAATTGGACTCAGGACCTCAGGGAGAACAGCCTGTGCTGTTCTTAACTGCTGAGCCATCTCTCCTACCCTTTTACTCAAACAATCTGCTGGCTGTTCTGCTCTTGCCTTCCTAACTAGTGGGGCACTAATGAGTGGCACCTAATTTTAACAAGAATTGGAGTTACCTAAGATACTTTACATATAGAAACAACATGAGCAATTTCACAGAATTTTACCCCCAAGAATATTAAAAGTCTCTACAGAAGAAAAGTGGAAGAATGCCTTCATTTGCCAGTTCCTGGTGACCAATTCCTTCAAGGTACTGACCATGTTTGCCAGTTCTGATCTTTGAAGGACAGAGCAGGAGGCATGATGCTACCCACCTATGGACCCAACACTAGAGTTGCAAGTTCTAAGCCAGCCTAGGAAACAAAGCAAGACCTTGTTGTTGGGTGAGAGGGAGACAGAGTACCATAGCTATCAGAATATATAATATTGCTGAGCCTGGCTTTAACTATCACTATCACTAACAGCAATCCAAAGGCATATAAATCTTATAGAAAGTCAAATAAGTACAGACTCAAACACCTTGAGAAAATTCTGGTGTATTCCCTATATGGATGTACAACACAAATTTTTGACTTAATGTAAAAAAAATCAGGACAGCGGATGAAGGTATGACTCAGTAGTAAAGCAGTTGCTTAACACACGCAAGACCCTGGGTCCATCCCACACCACACACACCCCAGGCTAAAAACTACATATGAAGTCAAAGGATACAATTACAATAGTTACAAAATACAGAAAGTATGCAGGGGGCCCAGGGGAGATGGCAAAGTGTCAGCTAACATTTTTCTCCATATGCTAAATTTTACTTTCAGAGTATGCATTTGTTTGAAGATGAAACAATAGAAGCGGAAAGGACGGGAGACCTGGCCGAAGGAACCGCAAGGAACTTTCTAAGTGTTCACAATTAGCAAATTATAGAAGGTCTGTGCTAGGACAGCTTGCCTAATTTTGTCAACAGGTGTAAAAACTAATTACAAACTGCACAACACTTTACAGGTTACCACACATTTGCAAACCGACATCAACTGTCTTTTGAAACACCTGTTCATATGCCCTCTTACTCCCTTTACGGATCAGCAAACCCTGAGTTAAACAGACACGCTTTTATAATAATGCCAATCACTTATCAATGCTTATCACATGCTAGCCTCTGGTGAAACACAATCCCATAGACAGGAACCTGAGGAGCAGAGGTTAAGTGACTTGCCCAGTCGTACCTACGGTGAAGAGTCGATACCTCACATTTACAACAGAAGTCGCGTTATATACACTCAACATCACGGGGTTCTTGAGTGACAGAACTGTCTGTGAGCTGGCTCTTCAGCTCTTCTTTTACCTCACTAGTCTGATAGTCTACATTTCAGGGCTCATTAGTTTGGGGTCTGGGGTGTATCTATCTCAGTAGTACACCGTCATACTTAGTATGCACAGGGCAGTAGGAATTAAAAGACAGAACAGAGAGAGAGAGAAAAAAAAAAAAAAAAACACTTGAATTTTATAGTTTGCTTAGGGCCCAAAAGCAAAAGCACTGGGTGCAGTAACACCCCAAAACCTGCACCTCAAGAGGAGGTTGAAACATTTAACTTCAAGTTAGGGGGTAGCCAACAAGTGGAGTAAGAGTTTATTCTGGAGCCAAACATGAGTGATCACCGGCAGGGAACAGGAATTGGGGTTGCCTCAAATTTTACGTTTTTTTTTTTTTTTTTATAGTAACAATTAAAAAACAAAGCCATAAATCAGGGTGTTTTAAAAATACATCGGTGGGAACATCAGGTGGATTACTGTAAATGGGGTTAGCCTCAGCTGTAGGCCTCAAATACTACCTGATAACGTTCTTAGCCTTTAGGTTGGTGGAAGCTAAAGATCTGTTTGCTTATTTACAAAAGGTTTTCACCTGATAGTATCAAGGCTACTAGGTCAGACACGGAGGTAGGCAACAAATGGCTATGAAGGGGCCTAAAGTTAGCCCAAGAGCTACAGTTAGTAAAATTCCAGCTCTCCATAATCACAGGAGTTCTGGTCAGTGGATCATCCTGGCAGAACATTTAGCACCCCCGCCCCTCCCCCCAGCACTTCACAAGAGGAAACATACCACCCTAGCAGCAGGGGCATCACCTCCAAAACACCACAACTCCAGCGCTTTACATTCGCTGGAGAGCACAATTTCCAGGGCCTTGAGTGTCACGTTAGGGGTTGCTCGCCACACCCCTTAGGCTGGAGGTCAGAGACTGGCCTCACTTTTTACAGGAAGAGGGTTAAGCGTCGGGTGCAGACACCTGAGACCTGAGTAGGAGCGGGAGCAAGGAGCCCCAGCGCTGGCAGGGCCAGAGAGGCCGCCGGCCCTGGGCCCGTCGCTCCGAGCTGCACCCTGCATCCCGGCCCAGATGCCAGGTTACTCACGTTGCACCAGCCGGTCCCCGGTGAAGGTGGCGGAGCAGCTAGTGACCAGAGCGCAGGGAAGACCCGCAGCCATCGCTGCAGCAGAGCGGGTTCCGCGCCGGCGCGCTTCCGCTTTGGACCGCACCACTGCGGCCGACGCGAGGGGGAGACGCTCAGAGGACGCGCTCTGGGCGGGGCCGCGCCTTGAGCTCCGCTGACCGGCACATCCCCTTCCGCTTCTCCAGTGGAGCGCGCCGGTCGCGCGCCGCGTTACTATGGGGACGGGCACCCCCACCTCCTAGAAGCGCTCGGGAGGCCACAGCTCCCGGGATAAGTCCGCCCCAGCCATGGCACACCCTCAGGAGGGTAGTGACCCCATCGGATCCATCCTAATCCAGGTGGGAAACCGGCCCGGCCATCGGCCGCGCAGTCCTCCCTGCGAACCCCGAAACCTGTGCTCCCCAAGCACCGCCATTCACACTCAGCCTCACAGCAGGAAACACAATTACCCTGTAGGGCTTCTTGTTCTGGGGCTTGAACACAGAACATTCTAGGTGAGCCCTAGGCAAATGCACCACCAGTCTTCCTTTAATTTGAGACCAGCTGGTCATTAAATCAGGCTGTCTTTCAATGCACTTTGAAGTTCAGGCAGACCTCGAACTTGTGACCCTCCTTCCTGCCTCAGCCTCCTGAATAGCTGGGATTATAAATCTGTACCGTCAGGCTCAGGTGTTCAGGGCACCATTTAAAAATATATTACAAAATGTTTAAATGACTTGGGGTTATGGGTGAGAGACAGATTCATTAGGAGGTTTTGGGAATTTGAAGAGAAGGTGAAACATGGAACCTGTGTTTCTTAACATGAAATATTCACTATTTGCGTGGGAACACACACCAAACATACATTAAAGGAAATTTGAACTACAAATCAATATAGAAATGTGGCACAAATGAAAATTTGGGGAAATGTCTTTATAATCTAGAGAGAAAGCTATCAAAGTCAGTATAATTCAGTTTGTGACCCTTAAACAGATTTTTCTGAAATAGCTCAGGTATTTTGTTTTTTCCAAATTCAGATATGGTCACTTTAAGATGTTTCCTTACTTACCATAACTTCTAACTCATATTTAGCTCCCTTTGACTAAGGCTTAAAATAATTTTCTGAAAGGTTAACCACTTCTAGAAGAAACACAAGCCCTAAACTCAACAGTTTCATAGATTTCCCTGTTAGGAATTGGTTCGAAAAATCTTACCTTGTATCATTCTCAACAATTTACCCTGTGATGAGTTTAGCCAAACTGGAACATTGGAGGGGCAGACCCCTCTAGTGCCCTCATGAATCTCCAGGGCAACCCTCATGCCAAACCAACTGGCTATGAGCCTATGGAGCCTGAGACACCCTCAGGTTGAATTTTGAGCAAGACTCCTAGAACTCAGAGATGTGCTACACCTGTGACTGGATCTGTCATAGTGAAAAGAAAGATGAAAATTAGCCAAGGAGGGCCATACATAGGGCACACTCCTGGGGCCATTCCAGAAGTCAGTGGGCAGTATCACCTCCTTCCAGGCACAATATGTGACAGACATCATTCAGAATTTGGACATCTGGAGACCCTTATCTGAGCTCAATCTCACACTGTGTAGCCTCCAATTCCTCCAGATGTCACACTGATACAGGGCGGCTAAAAGACCCCACTGTGAACTGTGTTTGTTGTTAGACTGTCTTGTGGCTAAAGCATCCAGACACTTCTGTCAGGCAGGACATTCCAGGGCTCAGAGATCATCACTCAGTAGCCAAGGCCCCCTTTTCATTGACACTAAACAATCGCAGACTAGTGGAGACTTCCCCCAACCCTGGGACCAGCCAGTTCTTCCCCATAGGGATCTGACCACAGGAGCACTCAGTTTCCTGTTTCACCAAACCTGAGACATAGGGGTGGGGAGTTAGAGGGAGAGAGAACGAGAGAGATAATGAGAGAACTCTGGGACTCAATTTCACACTTTTCCTTAAAATAATTATTTCCAACACTTCTCTTGTGGTCTGGAATAGTATAGAACAGTATATTAAGAGCCTTTCTTCTTCACAGTGAAATCCAGATAAAGTTGTTTGGCTAACCTAAGGTACATGACAGTGAAAGCCAACTTTTGACACTGGGTTAAGCTCAAATGGAAAGATATAACATAGCCATCTCTACATTAATTGGTGTCCTGCTTGTTTAGGAAGGTGTTGCACGAACTTTTTATGTGCAGATACAAACACATTTGAAAGAAAATGGCCCCCAAAAGGAGTGGCACAATTAGGAGGTGTGGCCTTGTTAGAGGAAGTGTGTCACTGTGGAGGCAGGCTTTGAGGTCTCATATATGCTCAAGTCACACCCATTGAGACAGTTCACTTCCTGTTGCCTTTGGATCAAGATGTAAGGACTCTCAGGTCCAGCACCATGTCTGCCTGCAGGCTGCCTTGCTTCCCACCATGATAATAATGGACTAAACCTCTGAACTATAAGCCACCCCAGTTAAATTAAATGAAATGTTTTCTTTTATAAGAGTTTCCCTGGTTATAGTGTCTGTTCACAGCAATAAAACCCTAACTAAGACAAGCACCAAAGTAATAAGTTTTATTGGGATTACTTGCAGAAGTTAGGAGACCCCCAAAGGCCTGAATCACCCAAGTCTGCCCCCAGCACAAATGGCTTCCTTAAAGCTGCGCACTGTAGCTAAACCTCCTGCACTGTAGAGACCTCACTTCTGGAGACCATGAGGTCACATGCCACTTGGGAAGGATTGCATGCAGAGTATAGGAAAGAATGACTGGAATGTCAGTCTAATGGCCTCCCCACCTCCACCTTCTGTGAGGGAATGTCAATGGGCCAGGCCTGATGGATGCTTGTAAGTAGTCACAGCTACTGGTGACTAGCTAGGTGATGATAATGACTGTAATGCTTGGAGAACAGATTTCTACAGCAGAGGCTTTCTCCAGACACACTGAGTGGAAAGCTATATGAAGGAAGAAAGCCTCTGAACTGCTAGGACATTCTTTTCCCTGGAGCTGATCTCTGTGTAGGGTTGAATTTTCTACATAGTATCTTCATGATGAGGCATATGGAGCCTCCCTACTTCCAGTGAGTCTTGAGTTCTGGGACAAACAGCACTGCTCTGTGCCCACATGGATTATACTTCTATCTGGGTCTTCAAGTATTTCTTTAAACAGGGTAACTATAATCAAGTGAGTTAAGTAGAAGGGGCTCTTGGTTAGGAGCCAGAACACTCAGGTGTAACAGTGCTTTGATATTTGCACAGATGAATACCTTTGAGCTAGTCACATCACCTGTAGGCTTCAGTGCCTTTTCTACAAAACGCATTGTTTGGGTTGGATCCACTTCTGATTCTAAGATCATCCATTTTCCCCAACATTACATGGTTTCTATTTTTACTATAAAAGTAGTGTTCCTTTACTTTTAATCTAGTTAAAAAGATTTAGTTTCTGTTAAGTGTGCACGTGTGTTTGTGTAATTCGTTGTAAAGCACAGATATTTTAAATCTCCACATGTCCCAGTCAGGTTCATTAATGGCACTATTCTTTAGACCACAGTTTCTCAAGGTGTGGCTGCAGGACCAACATCATCAGCACTGAGATATTACAAGGTCCCACCCAATACCTACTAGATCAGAAACTCAGGGGCCAGGGGCCACCAGGTCCCACCCCATACCTACTGAATCAGAAACTCTGGGGGCCCCAGTAATCTGTCTTCATAGACTCTTCAGAGAATTTGGAAGCATCTTCAAATCTGACAGCCATTATTTCAATTATATTGCAAAACAAAGAAAAATCACAGCAATCAAGATAACATAGCATTTATCAAGTATCTCATACCATTCCATGCACTTGCTGCATATAATCTAATTTGACCTTGCAACAAGGCTAGTAATATTAATTCATGTTTTGGAAACTAAGCAAATACCAACATGGTTCTGAAGCCTTTCAACCCATTGTCCCTGTATAAACAGGGTCTTTCCCCATGTCTCCCTTTGTTCCTGGGCATTTAAATCCTTCCTTTCTCACTTCAGTGTATTAAAATAACTATAACCAGCAATGATTCATAATTATCTAATTCTATTTCAAGTGGCATGGAATATAAAACCATTACCGATTTTAAGATTGTTTCAAAAGGTATAACTTTAAAATATTCAACCTCAATTTTAATTTTGAATTAAACTAGACAAGAATTACTATTAAAAGAAGAGAATGTGATACCCATGAACAGCCTGAAAGCAGGATCCCCAGATCATCTTCTCAACTAGAACTTTCAGGACTTAGACTGTGTCGTCTAATAGCTTTTCTCATAGGTTTGTGCCATTTTTCATCCCATCTACAAATGTTTTCAATGTGGCCTGTTAGGAGCCTGTACTTCCTCAGCATCTGTTTAGACTCCCTGACACAGGGTCAGGGAAAATGGCTAAGTTGATATGGTCATGAGCCATAAGCATCAAAGGGTTTAAGAAACATCCCCTTTACTGGGTTAGCATCAGATTTTAATGAAAACACAGGCTGATTTCATACCACAGAGCTTATTGTAGCTTTTAAAAGAGCAAGCCAAACTCACTTATGCTCCATGGTGTAATAGGACCTGTAAATCCATGCAATGTGAGCAGGAGATAGAGGGTAAGGACTGATGACAGTGATCCTTTATTCTGCAGTTAGGTGCCCTTCTATATTAACTATCCCTTTGTCATAGAATAGATAAATGTATGAAATGCATGGAAAGATGATAATGGTTTGTGTTAGAAACTAGACATTCATTTGTAAAACCATATAGTTTTTTTTTCCCCCGAAAGGGTTCCATGATAACCATATTCTCCGAAAGTAATAACAAGTGATTAGAGTTGAACTAACATTTAACATACACAGAGACCCTTTTCTATGAGTGGAACAGATTGTTAGACATAGTTCTAAGTAGCTTCCATTGTCAACTTGACAGAGCTCAGAATTATCCATGGAGTCTCACCTAGGGGCCTGCTTCCATCAAACAGGCCTGTAGGCAAGTCTGGAGTATTTTTGGATTGCTGATTGATGTCAAAGAGCCCAGCCCAATGTATATGACGCTACCCCTGAGCAGATGATGTTATGTAAGATAGCAGGCTGAGTATGAACCAGGGAGACCAAGACAATA